AACCTTGCTTTTCCTTATATATTTATTATTTAATTAAGGTTTGCTTTACATCTCATGTTGTAATTTGTACATGGGAGAGTGTTTGAGTGCCACTAAAAAGGGTCGACCCGATGAGATTGGAGGGGGAGGGAAGGACTTGATTGGGCGTGGCCATTTGTTCCCTCCACTCCAAACAAGAGGGCGTGAAAGCCTGTATATAATTGACAGTTAAATAAGCTTAATACATATATACTTAGGTAATACGGATCTTCTTACCCGTGCTTTAGATCTCTTTCGAGTGATCAAGTCATGGGTCTACCATTTATAATTATATTTTTGATACGACCAAATGCCATGCCTGGCTCTCCACAGTCGGCACTAGAGTCTAGGGCACAAGTTCTCTTTGATTGCTCCACTTCTTTTTTCCTACATGTTTTTTAACTGCAGGCCCTGGTCTGGTTGTATAAAGCGAGTCGCATATCAAATTAGAATCCTATGAAAAATTTGCATTTTATTAAATAAGGCAATACTTTGATTTATTATTTGTCCGGTTGTCTCGAGCATTTTATTTAACAAGTAAAGCAAAATCCTGTTTTATGATCACAATTTTTTTGAGTTGATGTGCTTTTGTTGTACTAATGCTAGAGGATGCGATAGAAGTTACCCCAAAACGAGAAAATAAGTGTGAGAGCGAGAATATGCAAACGTGTATATTAGGGTTTATAGTTTAGCACAATATTATTATATCAATCATGAGAATATATTCTTATGAGAGGATCAATATAATCTTATTGTCATTTAATATTATGGTGGTATAGTAATATTATTCTTCGCTTGTAAGAATAAAGTTTTAAGTTCGGATTTCATTGATGACAAGATCAATACCAAATTATTATAACTAGTATATTGTGAGAGTTAGCCAAAATTCTCATATCCCTAAATATAAATAATATCGATTTATAATTTTTTTTAATACAAGCGATAAACTACATAAGGGAAGAGCAAGGGGTTGAGCTCGAGATGCAGTGTGCTAAAGAACAAGGCCCTAATCACCAAAACAATTCAGCACTTGCAAATATAATCTTACCTTATTACTGTTGTTTTATGGCGGATAGTGCCAAACAAATCCATAGCTTGTACAATTCATGGTAGACGAAAGCTTATTGCTGTTTGTAAGGCCTCATTTGATATGTCATTATGTATTGGCTATTTAGTACAAAAATACACTAAATAAACTAGGTTCATATTATTAAATTGTATTCAACTCTTTATACGAGCTGTCAAACGAGACCTAAGAATTTTAGATTGCGGCTATTTGGGTTTTAGGAGATAATCCTTGAACTTGATGCAGTTGATATGGTGGCACCGATGAATGCTAATGGGAAGTGCAATGGGATGGATGGGTAATAGTGAAGAATCTGGAGAGCATGTCACAAGATTTCTGAATTTCTTTTTGCTAGTTAGAGTGGCTAAACTTTTTAAACAGTTTATATCTTTTTATTATGGTGTTTTGTTTTAATAAAATAAAGAAAATAATGACGAGTGTAAGTTCTTCAACACATGATATTTTATTATTTCATCGAGACATCACGTGATGATAAATTTATTTTACATAAGTTGTCTCTCGAGGATGGTAGCATTTCCATTTTTATTCTTTGCTTATGGGTTTATAGTTGTATGTGTGTGTTGTTATACTCTTTTTCTTTATAGGAATTTTTTTTTTTTGTTTAAATTTTACTTTGAGGGTTTTTTTTTAAGGAATTGTTATTGGCACTCCAAACTTTCTATTTTTAGAAAGAAAAAAACACTTGTAAGAAGTGTAGAATGAGATTTTTGGAGTGCCAATAATAGTTCTCTTTTTTTATTGAGAAATTTTTAACGAGGGCACACTTGCATCTAGCGCTTTGTAGTTTGTAACCATCTTTTATGAATGAATAAAATCAAATTTTCTAATAAATGACAACAAAAAGGTTCCAATTTTGAAATTCACTTTCCTACCTGATCAAAGAAGAGAAACATATATCTTAAGTTAGTGATTTCACAATCACAGTAAGTGGCCCAGTGGTAAGGATGCGAACTGTGGCTCACCAATAAACAAAAAATGTGGGAGGTCCTATGTTTTTTTTTTTTTTATTTATTTATTTTTTATTTTTTTATTCAGTGTTAGAAAAATAAACAAACAAGATTTTTATTTTTTATTTTATAAATAATTTGAAGATGAGATAATACTTGGAATGGTTATGGTATCCAAAAACCTTTTTTACCTTCCACACGCTTCTCTTAGGTTTTTATTGTTGAATTGAATAAATTGCAGAAAATCTAACGATGAAAATTAACATAGTGTATGAAAAAAAAAAAAAACAAACATAGATGGCACCACATACTTGAAAATATCGGAAATTGATTCTCTCCGAATCCCTTCAATCAAATCCACTAAATCAAGAGATTCAGACCATTAAAATTTGATCCAATAACTACAAACACCGGCCCATTTTAAAAGTTATAATAACTTTGACCATTTGATCAAATTTTAATGATTCAAAATCCACTAATTTGATAAATTTGATGAAAGGGATTCGGAAATGATCCCTTTACGAAAACAACCATCTTCTAAATCATTTGCTGATTAAGCTTAATCAAATGCACCTGAATACACTCTTGGTTCTGGCCAACCATTGATGGCTACTTTCAAGGTCGAGACATATCCATATGTCACATCAACCAAAAGTATTCTTGTACCCTATATACGGCGGGGTATCCCTAGACCTATTGCCATCTTAACCTGCCAACCCTAAATGAGTAGGCCATTGATGATAATACTAGCAAATGAGATACAATTGTCAGGTGGAGTATGGTTTGAATGGTCAAGCTCCAAATAATTGGGGTTCATGTGAAACATTGGATACCAACTCCTTTTTACCTTATAAATCATGTATATACATTTGCCTAATTTTCCCTTTCGTTCTTCTTTTAGTTTTACTATCCCTTTTGCTCTTTCTGCATCATTTCCACGGTTTGTAACATAAAAGTGAGGAGCACCTAATTTTGAATTCGTGTTGCTATCTAAAATAGGAAGTGGTTCTCACTCTCATGATGCGTGGTCAAAATAAACTCGATTTTATTGGTTTTTAATAGTAAAAATGTAGCAAATTTTACACGTGTGTAACATATATTTAGTAATTATTCGTTGTTGATGTATTTAAATTTCATGTTAAGTACGCTAACATTAAAGAAACGCCTAATTATAAAGTTATTGGTGCTAACCGTGAAGACAATTGTTTTGTAGCAAGATGGAAGAGAGGAGAGTGAGAGGGAGACGAAGAGGAAATTGCCCTTACTCTTCCTCTTTCCAAACGAGTGGACTTATGAGGGCAATTTCATTGCTTTGCCCTTGCCCTTACCCCACCATAAAACGGGACTTGCTCTTAGAAATGAGGATTTTCAAAGCTCAACATTTAAGGGATGACATTATAACTACACGGTGTTATAGTTTGAGTCCTAAACCTTGTTCCAAATGATGATATAAGGTTATGTTGAAATTTTCTCCCTCACATTCTTTAGTGTAGATAGTATCGTTTGTTAAAAAAAAAAAGATCATAAATTTTTTTTTTGTAACTTGAGTTATGGTTATATGATTAAGGATGAAATACTATAAATCATAACGCATAATTATTTTCTAACATGGTGTATGCAATTTCTTCCATTCCCTATTATTATTTAACATCAAACTCATTGTTTATTTTCTCAGCATTTGAGATTTTCTTGACGAAGGTCTTTTACGAAGGCTCACAATTTATATTTTGTTTTCTGTGTGATATTTATCTGACATTATATCTTTTGTAAGATGCAATTTTTATTCTTGATATTCACGTCCGATTTTGATTAACATTTTTAATTGTCTTTTATACTATCCTATGATGTTTTTTTATTGAGACATCTATTATTTAGAAAAAAGAAAACTTAAAATTATACTAAAAATGGCAAGCACGCTAAAAAGCTTATGAAAATGAAAATGAGAAGGGCAAAGCTCTAATAAAAATAAAATCAGGAGGGTATCTTGGTAATTTCGAATGTATAGTAGCATGACACGTGTGCAATGCAGAAGAAGCGTCCCGACTCTGAGACTAGCCAACCAGAGTTACTGGCGCGGCTTCGTTCGAACCCAACGACGTCTTTAACACACCGCAAATAATGTCGTTGACTATTTGACCTGACTCCAATGGCACGCTCAGTTGGGGTGATGATAAAACCACGAGTCGGTGACGGGACGGGGTCACCCCATTATAGAAAAAGCAAAAAGAGAAGGGCAAAGAATTCGATCCCCCAAGCAGGGACATTTCTGGAAACTCCGTTTCTATATAATCCCAGCCTCCGTGCCCTCCTCACGTTTTAGCCTTCGACTGTGCCTGCAATCTTTATTTTCTCCCTCTCTCTCCCACCTGCTTGTTGTGAAAGCTTCCGGAGCGCTGTAATTCAATCTCGTTCCCTTAAGCAATCTCGCTTTCGAATTGGGTTTTCTGCGCTGTAAGTTTTCTCTTCGATTTCACAGCTTTTGATGGCGGATTGGTCGATTTATTCATGTTTTTGGATCTCGACTTTCTGTTTGTTTCCCGAGAAAATGAACTGGAAAATTTCCGGGATGAAAAGGCTAACATTTTTTTGTCTGTCGCTTCGTTTTCCATTGCAGGGGATTAAGGAAAAGGTGTTGGAGATCCGTAGACTTGTACTGTGGGTAAAGCCAGAACAGCATGCGGTGGTGGTTGAGTCTCTCTGTTGATATTGTTCGTAAAGTCATCTCTTTGAACCTTTACTGCAGAGTAATTCTGTAATTCTTCGTTTTACTGAGCAGTGAAAATTCAAATTCCTGAAAACCCTTCAATTTTCTTACTATTTATCTGAATATTTTCCATGGGATCCACTTTTTTCATCGTCGTTCCTTGTTATGTTCGTCAGATCAGTTGATTTGAATCCGAAAAGCCTAAATCTTTAGCTGAAATTCTGTTTAAATTCCCTCTCATTTGCTTGTATTTGGTTAATTTAGCTTAAGTTCATCTACTCTTTTCTTGTTTTCTCCGTTTGGTTCTAGTTGATCAGCCTTCACTCTTTCGATTTTCGGGTTCACTTTTGTGTCAGTCAATCAGCTCAGAGTTTCTCAGATTCGATTTGGGATTTAGTGTATTACTGTTTGTTGCAATAGTTGTTGTTTGGAAGTTGTCATTTTAAAAAAATTGAAGTGCCGGGAAGTTGTTTAGTTATGGTGTGCCAAGCAGCGAGCCAAACAAGATTTCGGGCATTGAAACACGAAAATGGGATTGATGGGAGCGCCACCATAATTGTTAGAGTAATAGCATGCTTTCAACCTCTACAGGATTGCCAGGTTAGTCAATCTCAAGCATAATTTGCTATTTGTTATCCCAAAACTGTCATTTGAAGGGTTAATTCGGGTTTATTCGTTCTGTTTTTTGCGCTTGATAATGGTTGATGGTGCCTAATATATGATTGTTGGGTATTTTCCAGGCTGAATATTTTCGACATTTGCTGAAACCCGTAACGTAGGAAGATTGCTGTATATTGTGTTCAAGTTGAGCTGGATATTTTAGTTTATTTCATTCTTGCTGAAAGTGAGACATAAATCAACTATTTCTGTTTGTACATACGTCCTTCTGGTACGTTTTATATTTCCGATTTGATGGATTGTAGTTTATTGTCTTTGGTTTGTATTTTCGGATTTCTCTTGAGTTTTTAGAAGTTTATATATTTGTGATTGGACTTGTAGGTGGTTGTTTTGGTTGGATGGGTGAAAATTTTGGAACCTGGATTCGTCAGCAGCATCTTGGCGGGCAACCACCCGATCCGAATGCCATTGTTGCTCCACTTGGCTCGGGGCAACAAAACTTCGTTTCTGCATATGGGAAACTAGGCACTAATACTATGCCACCATATGCATCTTCCGAGTTGCCTCATCCACAAGTCGGCAGACCAAATGAACCTCACGGCTCGTTCTATTGCTTACCCCGTATCAGACAGGCCTTCATGCCTGCCACCGACAATGGTCTCAAAGATAGAGTTTCTTCTGCCCATCACGGAATTCCTGGGGAGACATTTGTGCCGAATGCAGACAGTGCCTTTGAACAGAAGGGACTCCTTGTTAACAATCCTTGTGGGGATCAGGCAACTTTGATCTTTAGTTCTGGGATAGTGAATCCCATGCGGTGCCGTACTTCTTGGAATCCGTTCCAACAAGGAGCTTATTATTTGGATGGGGATGATCCTCGAAATGATAGAGATTTTAAAAATTTATCGGGAGCAGTTTTGACCGATGAATTCAAAGGAAACGATGAAAATGGTGCTGAAAGTGAGATGCATGAAGACACCGAAGAACTGAATGCCTTGCTCTACTCAGATGGTGATAGCGATTATACCGAGGACGATGAAGTTACTAGCACAGGCCATTCCCCTAGTACAATGACAGTTCATGACAAGCAAAATTGGTTTGAAGAAGTTGCTAGTTCTGATGGAATGAATAAAAAGCGGAAGCTATTTGATGAAGTTTATGATCATGTACGATCCGTCATGGACACTGCGAGTTCCAAGAAACACAACCGACCTCTGGAGTTGGAGGATGATGCCGAATCCAGTTGTGCCTGCAACAGAAGTTCTGGATTAAGAGAAGTGGATTCCTTTACCAGCAACAAGAAGATGAGAAAGGAAAAAATCCGCGAAACCATTAACATTCTGCAGAACATAATTCCCGATGGTAAGGGAAAGGATGCGATGGTGGTGCTGGATGAAGCAATCCACTACTTAAAATCGTTGAAGCTCAAAGCCAAGGCTTTGGGACTCGACTCTCTCTGAGCTTCAATACGTCACTCGCTTCCAGCAGTGCTTCTAGTAAGCACTTTGTATCACTCATCATCAGTTCTTGTCAATTAGTAATATAGTTAAAAGTGATTATGGAGAATAAGTCCTGTGTACATGTGCTGCTTGCGGATGCCGTACGACGTGAAACAGGTTCCGGCTAGGGTGGCGAAAGCGGGAGCGGCCCGGGAGAGGAAGAATCGAGCTCAAAACCCCTCTTGATGAAGCATTTGTTCAATGATTGAAGTGGTGAACGATTTGTTTATAGGGTTAAGAGAAAGTGACAAGCGCACCTGGGGGAGAAAGAAGGAGAGCATGGCATGCGTTGGCATGGGGACGGGGTGAATTCAAAGAGAAGAAGGGGAGGGGCCCCACCAAAAGAGGAGAAGAGTGCACGCCCCTTGTGTTTTTTAGGTCCCAACACTTGACTTTCCTCTCACTTTTTGTGTTTACTTGTTATCTCTCTCTCGGTGTACAGCTTTGCACGGCAAGAAGGCCTTCTCCAGCTCCATCATGCTGCCAGCTTGCCACAAGGGGTCCCAAAACCAACCATCCTGTGTTGTGCAGAAACAAAAGATGCAATCCATGACAGCCAAGTGAGCAGAGGGAAACCCACATGGGGTTTTCAGCGAGTAAGGAGTAGTTACTGTTTACTGTTACTCGATGGCGAAATGACAGATTTACCCCATGAGAAGACGGGGTTACGTTGCGGCAACTAAAGAGACTGACCGCAATTGGTTTGAATTTGTTTCAGTTAGTTTAGCACGAGATCGCTTCACACCTCGCGGTGCTTACACCTCTCGCCTATCGAAGTTGTGTTTTAGACTCTAGTGATGTTATTACTGTGGTTAATTTCAGTGTGGTTTTTGGGGGAGGGGGATGTAAATTACGTGTGTTAGGAGTTACTGTTGTCCTGATGTCTATGTACTTACGTCTTACGTCGCGTGCAAGCATTTATGATACGAGACAGCGATGTGTGTTTCAATATTTGTGTGTCGTGAATCATGTGATTGTGATTCCCCTTGGTTTTTGTTGTATGAGATGTTGTTTTGTCTCCGAAATTAGAAATATTTTCTTGCATTCAGTTATGTAATTGAGCGGGACGAGCGTGCGTTTGCGGGGGAGGGACCACTGGGTTTGCATTGTTAGGGAGAGGAAATATACGTGCGTGAAGGGCAGGGGTAAGTTAAAGGGAAATTATTATAAACGATGACTATGATGTAATTGTTTTATTATAACCAAAAGTCTAGAATGCGTAGATGATGTTTTACCGCAGTGGTGGAAAGCGAACATGTCTATGCACTAGAGTACGAGTTCAAATCCCACGGACCTTCCTCTTCTCTAACAACTAACAATTTAATCTATTGCCGTTATTGATTTTTAGAAAAATGAATATATCCAAAGATCCTCAAAATGAAGGTAGGGAGTCATCCTTAAAACAAGTGAGGGTGCGTACAGGTAGGACGCCACATGTTTTGGATTAAGCCACGTGTGATTTGGAATATTTTAGTGAGGCGTGTCTACGTATTAGGAGACACGCATTAGGGGATCCAAGAGTAAATTGGAGTGTCCAAATCAACAAAGGTGTCCAAAAACAGGTACTTAAATTAAAACCACTCCTCACTAAAGTATTCCAAATCTCATGTGAAGACAAATTTTCTTTGTAATGGAAATTGGAGCCCAAGTTCACTTTAGCCCGCAAGAGAGAACGGCCCATCCTCTGAGTTTCAAACGCAGCTCAAGCCTTGTCGTAGAGTCCATAAACCATGACTTACGAAAACGACATGCCGTATTCCTGATGACGATACAACGTGACCCACGGCTCAACCATACTAATCACCGCCAAAAAAGTGATCAACGGTGGTTAAACACCACGCGGACGTCTCACAGCCGTCGATCTCACTTGATAGTAGAAAGTAGAAATAAATAAATAAATTTGTTAAAAAAAATAAATTAAAATCGTAAAGGAAAAGACCGGTGTTCGTGTTCCTGAAAATTGGACAAGGAGGAGAATCGAGAAGCTTTTCTTCTTCTGCAAGTAGCTTACTGAAGATTATCGGACCGGTACACTCGATCGCGTTTCGGTTTCGGGTTTTCGGCTCTTCCGTCTTCAATGAAGGGTGTGCCTTTTCACGACGGCAACATCCACGACTTGATTGAGAGACGATACGTCGACGTTCGGCACGTATGTTCTTCGTCCTTCCCTCTGTTGAGTTTTGGAAATTTTGGAACGCAATTCGGCATGGATTTTCGTGTTTTTGTGAGGATTGGGTGACTAATTTTGCTTTCTGTTTACAGGATGCCAATCACAGGTTGCAGATACACTCGTCGTTGGTGCGAAGGCTTTCGCAGGAAAGGGAATTGGAGGTTGGTTGGTTTCGATTTCAGTTCCAGCATTTCATTTCGCTTCCAGTTAATGTAGTAAATGCGAATTCATGTGATGTGAGGTGGAAAATGTGATAATCAATGGCAGTTGGAAATTTGTTAGTTGAATTATCCATCTGGTTCTTCAGTTGTTAATTGTGTGTTTAGGGTTAGAGGGAACGCGGTTCGACTGGAAACTAGGTTCTTGATGATGCTACTATTGACTTATGAGTTAAAAAATTGTATCGGCACTTCATTTGAAATATGATCAAGTTGTTTTTTCAGGATTTTAATTTATGGACTATGTTGAACTAAATTGCTGATTGGGCGAAACACTACCGCAATTGTACTCTTCTTTTTGAATATGAGTTTGAGACTGTAATGACACTAGTCGGGCAGCTCAGTGAACTTTTAGTGTAGTGTATTGGACGACAATATCGTCCCCTTGATATTAGGAGTAGATTTGATCCGTATGAATCAATGTAAATCATCTTTGTTTCCTTCCTAGAATAGACTTCCTTGTATTATATAAGTCTTGTATTATATAAGTCTTGTACTCAATTGTAAGTGAATGAGAATTATTCAAAGTTGATTCCCAGACTTCATATTTCTAAACCCTAGCCGAGTTACCTTTCAACATGGTATCAGAGCACCGTTTCTGGTGACTCTGAATACCCACACAGCTTCCGCAAATCCTAACAGACACAACATCACCTAAACCACCATGGGCGATCCAATACCTAAGGCGTCCATTGACACCCAAAAACCTATGGAGACATTCACAGATGTCTCGAATCCTTTTATTATACATCCCTCGGATCAACCTGGGAATATCTTGGTCTCCAAAACACTTCAAGGAGACAACTACAATACCTGGAGTCGTGCTATGCGAATTAGCTTGAGCGCGAAAAATAAACTTGGCATGGTTGATGGCACCATTAACCCTCCATCAGAGACTGACAAACAATTTGCATCATGGCAAAGATGCAATGATATGGTCCTTGCCTGGATTCTCAACTCAGTCCACGACGACATTGCGAGCAGCGTTTCTTATTACACAACAGCAGCCGATGTTTGGGCTGACCTGCGAGATCGTTTCTCACAAGGAAACGACTCACGTATTTATCAAATCAGGAGAGAGATCGTTGAACACAGACAGGAACAACAATCGATCCAGGTTTACTACACGAAACTGAAAGCGTTGTGGGATGAACTGGCATCCTACAATGAAACTCCGACTTGCACCTGTGGGGGATTGAAGAAGATGAATGATCGAGATGAGAAAGAAAGGGTGATGCAGTTCCTGATGGGTTTGAACGACTCTTATGCAGCAGTACGTGGACAGATACTATTGATGCAGCCACTACCAGACACTCGGAGGGCATATTCCCTTGTTCTCCAACAAGAGAAGCAAGTAGAGGTATCTCTAAATCGTAACAATATAAATATGCATGCTATGAATATAACCCGTAACAGGGAGACTGCTGCATCAAAAGGAAACACCATTCAATGCTCATATTGTGATCAAAAATACCATACCGTGGATCGATGCTTTTACCTGTATGGTTTCCCGCCTGGCCATAAGTATCATGGCAAATCAGTCAAGCCACCAAATAAAAGAAAACCTGCGGCAAACCAAGTCACGGTGGAGACCGAGACCACCAAGGGTGTAGACTCACGACACAAGGCGACGTCCAGTGACGGTCCAAAGTTCACCACAGAAGAATATAATCAACTTATGGCAATGCTCAAGAAGAGCAACATTGATGGTAATCCGCAGCATTTTGCAAATGCAACAGGTACAATCACACCTTCTTCTGACTTGTCAGAGAAAACTTTATATTGGATCATTGATAGTGGGGCAACAGACCATGTATCTCCTTCTCCTCATTTGCTTGACAAGAAGTCATTATCCATGCTGGATTCTGTACAATTGCCGAATGGAGGACATGCCTTAATAGACTCGATTGGTTCTATACAAGTTACCCCACACATTAAACTTGATGGCGTGCTCCATGTGCCTAACTTCCGAGTTCACTTATTATCTGTTAGCAAACTTACTGAAGCATTACGATGCATAGTGATTTTCTTCCCTGATTTCTGTGTGATACAGGACATGGATACGAGGAGGACGATTGGCCTGGGCAAGCGATATAATGGGCTTTACTACTTGGCGCCAGAACACAACCTTCGCCTTGCTCATCACATTAGCCGCAACTCCACCCTCTGGCACCAACGATTAGGGCACCCTTCTACCGGTCCTCTGCAAACTTTAACCAAACAAGTTCCATCAATAGTATTTGATTCCAGTCATACATGTGACGTTTGTCCTCTTGCTAAACAAACTCGGTTATCTTTTCCGTCCAGTTTTATTTCTTCTAAAGCACCTTTTGATTTGATACATTGTGATATTTGGGGACCTCACCGAGTCAATTCCCATTCAGGGGCTCGGTATTTTTTAACGATTGTTGATGATTATTCTCGCTATACTTGGATACATCTCATGCGTTTTAAATCCGAAACACAAGGATTGTTACGTTCCTTTATTGCTTGGGTCCAAACACAATTTCATTGCATGCTTAAAACACTTAGGGCTGATAATGGTGGTGAATTTACCTCTTTACGTTCCTTTTTTGATGACAAGGGTATCATATTCCAAACTTCTTGTCCGTCCACGCCTCAACAAAATGGGGTTGTTGAACGGAAACACCGTCATCTCCTCAATGTTGGTCGAGCTCTACGGTTTCAAGCCAATTTACCACAACATTTTTGGGGGGAAAGCATACAAACAGCGTGTTATTTAATTAATCGTTTACCTACACCTCTTCTTGGTCATAAAACTCCTTATGAGCTTTTGCATTGTCAAACTCCCGATTTTTCGCATCTTCGGGTTTTCGGTTGTTTGTGTTATGCTACCAACCTCCATCCTCACCATAAGTTTGACCAACGTGCTCAAAGATGTATTTTTGTTGGGTATCCATTAGGTCAGAAGGGCTATCGTGTTTATGACCTTACCACACACAAAATTTTTTCCACTCGTGACGTGATCTTCCATGAAACTATGTTCCCTTTTTCCTCTCAACCACTTGACCATCACCCTGCTCCACCTATCCTACCTATTCCCACCGACTCTCCATCTCATCCTCTTCCCACCGATTCTCCATCTCATCCTAATC